GTACCTGGCGAAAACTTTTCCAGCAAAGGAAAGGCGAATGGTTAGTCCTTTGGTTGCGTTGCTTGGTAATAAGGATGTGGATGTGGCAACAGAAGCAGCTATTGCTTTGGGAAAATTTGTGTCTCATGATAATTTTAATCGTGTGGAGCATTCAAAGGCAATTATTGAGTTTGATGGGGTGCCGCCTTTGATGAGGTTGTTGAAGGTAAATGATCGAGCACAAATGAATGGGCTTGTATTGTTATGTCACCTTGCACTTAATGCTGGTGATAGTAAGGCTCTTGAACAAGCAAGAGCATTGAATGCCCTGGAGGGGGCAGCTCGCTCTGTGATACCCCAATATCCCGAGTTAAGGGATTTGTTTAATGAAGCTATGTGCCGCCTTGCTCTTTATCAGGCTGGTGCCCGTCCGAATATTCAGTCTTTTGCACCATAAAGGCCTTTGTTTAGCTGGTGGAACATGTCATAAACTGCTTGTGTTGTAAGTTGTAGCATACTAAGAAAAGACTGATAGCTTATGAACAAAATTTGTCCAAAGCAAGGTATGATGATACTAAAGACGTACTTTCAATTAAGGATGCTGGTTAGTTGCCTTTAGCAATACGATTATATGTTGTAAAATTTATCTGTAATTGGTTACACGTATTGTAACAGGAATTTCTACAGATTTCTTTAGGCATGGAAGAGGTCACTTGCAATTAAATTAGTTGTGGCTGGAAACTTATTGAGGGAGAGATGGTAAATAATTGTGAACTAATAGATTTGTTTCAGTAATTTAGTTATAGTTTCTGCTCTTTGTACACTGAATTGAGATGAAGTGTCCATATCTTTGAGGCCAAGTTTCTTGTATATTTGCTATTTTTCTCACATCCCTGAGGAATGAAAGTTTGAAGCTAGCTTATTTCCATCTATTCAATAAAATCTAGTTTATCAAAAATTATTTTTCCTGCACTTAACTAATATATTACCATTTATATGATGATGATTTATCTGCTAACTTTGTTGTTTGAATAGTAATTTTTTCCTCACATGAATCATGAACATTTTAGTTATTGCATTTTTCGCTGTTGACCATGAATTATGATAGGGGTTGTTTTCTTTATGCTCTTCCTTTGTATTTGGTGTTAGGAAGGATGTAGATCAGTTGTGTTTTAAGGATGTCTGATATATATGGAATATGTCCCTCGTGCTTGAAAGCCACACTCAGTAGTTCATATTCATCCGTCAAAAATTTTATTTGTCTCACTAAGTTTAGATATTTGGTACATGAATCCATAGATGATGCTGCTGTTGTATTTGAAATATGTTTTAACTTTTTATTATGTTAATTGTAATCCCTTATCTATGGTTGATTTCTTGTATGCTAACTTCTACTAATCTACCTTTTTGCTTTTCTTCCTGCAATTTTCTTATTGTCACCTGTAATGATTTGAGAAGTACAATGCTGGTATGCTATTGCTATCCATTTTTTCTGAAGTTCCTTGCTGTGATTACATTGTCACTTTCCAAAATCTGCTTACTCAAAAAAAAAAAAAAAAAAAAAATTCCTCTTCAGAAGGAAGATTGGGGTGTTGGGGGGTTGGCCTCTGCCAGATATTATCCTTATTTAATATTCTTAGAGAAGTAGAAGTGGGTAGAAATAGTAATCTGAACAGTGATGTGAGAGTAGGGTTCTTAGAGATGGCCATTGGACATTATACAATATTCTTATTCAATTTGCGTTCCATATCACACATCCACCCAACAAAAACAAAAGATGATATTCATGACGCGGAATTTATAATAACCACTCAACTCTCATGCCTATGCCCCTGCCCCTGCCCCTGCCTATCCTATTCTACCACAATCAACCCGAATTCGCACTATCTTCTTCCCAACCACACGTTTGGCATAGTGGACATTAGCAACTTCAAGCTTCATGTACTCGTTAAAGCTTAAACCTCTCCCCTGTTTATGTTGCTTTCGACTTTGGGTAAACATGAGTTGGGTTTCGGCTTAAAAGGTTTATAAAACAACATCATCTGATAAGTTAGTTTATTGGGGTAGTTGACAAGTGCCCAATTCTCGATTCAATTGGCATGGGTCATGGCGACATGGATGATGAGTTTATGGGTTGGGCTGGTCGGAGCTGAGCCTTGAGTTTTGTTTATGGGCAAACAATTGTCGGGCTTCATAAGAGAGATTTAAATTTATAAGCAATGGTGGGGCAGTACTATTTATAGAATTGAAAATAAAAGGAAAGCTATGATTCCACCAAACTTTATTAAACAAAAATAAGTAAACTATGATTGAAGAAAGTGATTCCTGGCTAACCTTTCTATCTCACACAATCATGAAACATGTGTTTAGAAGTTTTCATATATCACACCAAGTTGCCATTGGATAACTTATCTTTAATGAGAAGCTATTTATATATCTATAACCAAACGTTAAACTTAAGGAAGCTGTGGATTAAGGTTCCTTGCTCTTTCATGTTTAATGTCATTATTAAAGCTGTTAAACCAAATTCAATGGAGTCATTAATTATCATTACTGGCAGGACCCTTGTAGCCAATCCGTAAGTAAATTGGTATTTAGATGGGATTTTAATGATATGATGTATTTGTTAAGAGTTTTTAATTCTTCTTTACGTCTGTGAACAACTTATTCTTGGAAACTATCATATTTATTCAACATTCTTGAACCATTTATTGTTTTCCTTTCCCATCATCCTCTCCCTTAAAAAACAAACTATGAATTTGCTTGAATTAAAGTCACTACCATATGTTATATCTTTGCATGAGTAATTTGATAATTGCATGCTCTGGATTTGTCATCCTCATTATGGATGTGTTGATTAATTCAATCATATTATACTAAAACGTACTATATATGTAATATGTACTCTTGCTAGTTCCAGTCCAGCTCATACGTTATTGGTAAAGACATTTTGTTTCCTGACCTTTGAATCGAAGAAATCCCACTAAAACCTTGTAAATTAAGGTTTTATTTATTAAAAATATTTCAAAACAAGCACTAAGCTCTCTCTCTCTCTCTCTCTCTCTCTCTCTCTCTCTCTCTCTATATATATATATTACCATAACCTTTCTTCTTTATATAATTAGATTAAAGTAACAGAATCCTCATGACCAAATCTAATGTAGTAGTCATTGTATTGATGTCGGTCCAGTTCTACAATTGGAATGTTTGAATTGGTATCATTAACTAAAGCATGCCGATACCAATTGATTTGACTCAACCAAAAAGCTGTGTTTCTTTTACTACTTGACCTCTTTTTTAATTTTCTAATTTCCCTTTACATAATGTATTGTCGGCATACTTGGATTCTGTATTTGGGACTCACCTTCTCTCTCTTTTATATAATTAATCATAGCCTTTTCTCTTTCTATTTGTCTAAAGTTCCAACAATTTATACTTAAAAGCTGCACTTGCTTTAAATTGAACCTCTCAAAACAATCAAATTGCTTTACGAATGATGGAATTTAATTAAGCACATTTTAATCATGTATTAATTTTGAACTCATACTAATAAGCTACCGTCACCCTGGACCCATTAACCTATTAAACTGATGCCCTTCTCAACTTTTCTAAATATTTATATGAAATTTCTACTGTTTCATTGCATGTAATTATGCTACGAACTATTCTGATAACAGTTGACAGGATTATGGGTTGAGGATTTTAGTTCCATTAGCTCCAAAATTTGATTATAAGAAAACTCCTGCTGGATTGTGACAACTAAGTTGTTGATTGTCACCATCTAATCCATCGCATTCTAACTTGTCGGTGCCCAAAAAATTTTGTGTAACATAGGACCGGCACCACTGCTTTTTTCACCATTGTAAAGGGAAGTCTTTAGTTGCATCCATATAGATTATAGTACTATGGATGAGAATATCCAGCTCATAATTATCTCCATTTCATGGACAATTCAAAAATGTAAAGATTTCTAGTGGGTTTTGTTAGGTAATGGTTCCATTAATTAATCGATTTCCAGTGCTACAACCAATTCGAGTTGATGATGACCTGATATAATGATCGTTTCAGCACCATGAGATGAGACGTTCCTGCTGTTCAGGATAATATAGTAGAAGAGATATCGCAGACATCTTGGCTGTCTTTGTTTGTAGAAATTCAAAGCAGCTTTAAATTATTTTGCAAATAAATGAAGAATCGATATAGATTTGTGTAGATGAGAGGATTAGAACTTAGTTGCATGAACTGCTTTAGCATATTAGTACCCTTTTGAATATTGAAGGTATTTATGATGCAGGTTATGAAGAATCCAAAGGCTTTGGAAACATAGATAATTGAAGAGTTGTGGGATCATCCACCATAATTTTAGGTAACGTGACCTCTTGCTCTCTCTCCAATAATAGAGAGGGCAGTCCAGAGAGCCAGCCAATATCAGCCTTTTGGAGGGTCGAGCAAATTAACAGTTGGATATATTAAATGCCAGAGAATAAGGTCGTATATATTTATGCCCAGATGATCTTGCTCTCTTAATTTTCTGCCAGCGCTTCAAAATATCGCAATCTAAACCTACCCCACACATACACTACCCTAGAGTATATGAATATGCATACACGGAATCTCCAATATTATTTATATTTTTTAAAATAATTTATGATCCGTAAATCATGAACTTAAAATCGGTGCGGTGTTGCATTCAATTGATAAAAGACTGGAAGTGTTTGGTACGGTATATGGGTTCAGACCGAATTTCTTTGCTCTTAAAAGGGGTTTAGCTTAAAAAGGAAAAAGACACGCATGAAAATACCACCATAACAGCATTTGATAATGATAATTAATTAGTTATATTTATTAGATATTATACAAAGACTTGGACCATTAAAATTAGTTCTCACTCATTCAATGAATTAAACTGTAAGAAGAATTAACATTATTTCACCTTTACCAAAACAATTACAGAAACAACCAATAGGGCATAGAAATTTAAGAAAACTCAACTGAAAATCACTTTTACTTCCAGATTTAACGAGGAGAAAGAAAAAATCTTCATATCTCAAACCTTTCAGTAGAAATTCCTGTACTATCAACATCTGTGTGTATGTTTAGCTAGAACAACAGAGAGAAAAGAAAGGTAAAATGAAAAAAAAAATATGAATTTACAGTTCATAACTGGTGGAAGACATCAAAATTTGCGCCTGTTAGATCTTCTGATAGTGACGTTAAAGGATAGCTACTGAAATCTACTGAATTCTGAGTATGAAGCTGGGCTTCATGCCAGGAACTTGGTGTCATTTCTTCAGATTTGATACCATTAACATGAAACTGAAACATAGAGTTTAACTTATTCTCAGCATCCCACGAGAAAGCTGCTGCATTTTCCAACATGTTATTCACCTGAAATCCAGTGTAATTGCTCATGTTTGAACTGTTACTAGAACTTTCCTTTGCTTCATTCAAGAAGAAAGAACTTACTCTTGAAGCTGAATTATCAGAAAAGTCAGCCCCCGACATGTTACCATGATCAAAACTAGTTAAACTGGGCATCGAAGAGAATGCAAAATTAGAATTATTTGTCTCAAACTGCCCGTTGTGATATTGTGATACAAGATTGGAATTATATCCGGTTTGATCGGCGGTGGCAGTTGCTTGAAACTCGAAGCCAGAAAAAGGATCATAGATTTGCTTGTTCATGAATTGCTCTTTTGTATTGTCGGTTAATCCAGCAGTGTAATAAGGTGAATCATTAACGAGAAACGTTGGCTCCTGAGCGGTGAATGGTGAAACAGTTGGTACCCCTTTAGACTGTGGCGCCATTTGCAAATTATATGCCTTATCACTATTGCTATTCTTTTCCTCTTTCACTTCAGCATCGCTTATGGGCTTGTGGGTGGTGGGGTCAATGCCTTGCTTCATCAGCTTCTTCTTCAAACATGAATTCCAGAAGTTCTTTATCTCATTGTCTGTTCTTCCTGGCAACTGTGCAGCAATTTGAGCCCACCTGAAATTCACCAAAAAGTAATTCATATTATATAATAAGAAAGAGTATATATATATATAAGCAGGAGTATCCACTTATATAACATCACAGTACCTGTTTCCTAGAACTTCATGAAGACTGATTATGAGATTCTCCTCTTGCTGAGAGAACATTCCTCTTTTGAGGTCTGGTCTCAAATAGTTTATCCATCTCAATCTGCAGCTCTTTCCACACCTTTGCAAACCTAAATATTTACAACAATAATCAAACAATTAGAACAATATTATTCAAGTATTAAGACAGCATGAAGAAGAAGTGTAAAAATATTATGCAAATGACTGTAGAAATATATATATATACCAGCTAGCTTAGGAACTGAACTCCAGCAACCAACACCAAATCTTGTAATGTAATTGTAGAGTTTCTCATCTTCTTCAGGTGACCATAAACCTTTCCTTAACTTTTGCTTGACACAACACGAATGGCGTCCCATTTTGCAAGAGTGTGTAAACGGATAGCGGAATGGAAAGGAATGAGGAAGGTGGGTTTGATAATATGTTTACTAATAAGAGAGAAAAAAATGAAGAATAAGTTTTGATGATTTAAAGAGGAAGAACTAAATTATACTTAGAATTGAAGTTACAGAGAGAGGGCTGAGGATTGAGGAAGGTAAAGCAATCAAGTAGTTTTTACGCAAATCTGGTGCTGCTTTTGCATTTGGACTAGATTGGTTTTTAAGATATCTCTCTCTCAACAAAATTATCAAGTGATTTACATGAGAATAATTCCATAAACGTCTACTTATGAGTATAAATACAGTCAGAGCTTCACTAATAATTACAGTACAAAACCGTATAAAATATTTACTTCATTTTATAAATAATTTCGATTATGCCTTGTCACAGGGTTGGGTTTTCTAATTATGGAATATTTTAACAATTAACCTTTTTCTTGGTTTTAAATTATTTTATGCCATTTGCATTATTGATAACCTACTACTACTCCAATGTCAGGATCCAAATGGTACATGCTATTAATTGTCCAAAGAAAATAATGGTACTATATATATATATATATTTTTTTTTTAAATTCCAAAAATACTCTCAATGGAGAAAATTTTCTTGGAAAATTCTGTAAAATAAAAAAATTAAAAAAAATGATTTTGGCCTTGCTTGCCAGCTACTACTATAGCCAGTGCAATGCATTTGATCCAGTTTTTCTAAATCATGTGAAATGTGTTGTACTTGCCTTGCCTCTTTGTTCCATTCAATTTTAATAAAATCATAAAAGACGGCTGACACTGTGGCCTCCTTTTATATATTTGACTTATAATAACATTTTATATCTAATTAACACTAAGAATATGCCATAAAAAAATTAAATAAATCTTCATTTATTTTCTGAATTTTAAAATAATAAAAGAAGGCGTTTACCACACTTCTCATATATATATATATATATTATCATAAGCTTCCATAATACATTGGCTATGATTGCCAATACTCCGAAAAGGCACAAATTGTCTATCATATTATATTGAATTACTAACATTATTATTAATTTCTGCTCAATCCAAAAATGTATTAGATTTCTATTTATTTATTAATTTTAATAAACTTTGTGATGTAACATAAATTACAGTGTGAGTGTGCACATTCTAGAAATGCCTCCATCCACAAGTAACGTCAATGATTGGAAATTTGATGGACGTTTCATGACCGACAGTTACACGTAGGATTAACTTAATTGGAATTTGTCTCGGAAAATACGCAGCCACATCACCAACACACGCCTAATCAATCACTGTTTCATCGCACGGCCACCATTCTTTGTTGTTAGTTAATAATAATATACTTGCAATCATGGCTATTCACAAATAATTTTGGGCCTGGAAGATCCTGAACCACACGTGAAATATCGTCAGCGTTGGAAACTAATTAATTAGTTGATTAAGATAAATCCAATTAATTAATGAAACGGTTAAATATAATTTTTGTACTTAGTAGTGTTTAATTTGGTTAATTAATTTATCCCACGTTTGTTCGTTTTTCAAATCTAATTATCAAATATCTGCGGTGGCGGCGGTGCACACGTACATACTTTTGCATTTATTTATTTTATCGTAATGTCAAAATTTCAACGAAATGACAGGAAATCGAATAATACGTTATTTGCCTCTATTAGCTGAAAATGATGCGATGGCATAATTCATATATGTATAAGAATTAAGAAACGTAAAAATTAAAACAAGATTATAGTGCGGGGCAGGACAGGAGACAATGAAAATGAACTACAAATATAAGCTAATTAATTTTGATTTAAAAAAAAAAAAAAAAAAGTTTTATGGTTTAGTCACAATATAGAGTCCAAGTCAAAAAAATGATAAAGCTAGAAAATGACCAATCATAACCGTTAAATATTCTGACAGTAATCTTCACTAGGTTTCTTAGAAATTAAGTTAGACAACATACAACCTAAAAAACTCTGCTTCATACTTTAATCTCCAATTACTTCATGATTAGTCATATATTGAAAAATATATTTATACAAACAATCAACTACATACAGCAAGAAGACAAAAATTTATTCCTTAAAATATAATCAAATTAATTAATTTTATGATAAGATGGTTTTGAAATATTAAATATTATATTAATTAATTTTGATACATAAGTTTATGGTTTAGTCACAATTGTATTTGTAACATCAAAATCAAAATGAGATAAAGGTGGAAAATGACAAAGCATAACCATTATTTATTTTGATTGTAATTTTCAACTGATTTCTTATAAATGGAGTTAATTAATAAGATGAACCCTAAACAAAGCCTATTTCATTATAATTTAATTTCCTTTCCCATTAATTCACAATCAAATTAACCCACTTTTCATTAAATTAGTCGATAATCACTGATGACACAAATTAATAGTGACTTCACAAATATCCAACCATCATAATATTGTGCTATTTTAAAAACAAAAAAAACAAATTTAAGTTATATTAATAATTGGAATTACTAAAATTATCGAGACAAAACAGGATCATTTGTATCAATTATAGATTACTTAGAGAGCTATCATACACAACGTGTATTTAGGGGTAGAATAAAAAAATAATTTGCAAGAGGGCTAAAAAAAAAACAAAAATACAAAAATACAAAAAAAAAAAAAAACCAAAAATTAATTTTGAGATGGTTGAGAATATATATATATCTGTGTGTGTGTGTGTGTGAGAAAAATGTGTCAATTAAAATGAACATATTTAATATGATGAATATTGTCATTCAAAAGCATATTTTATTTTTAAAATGAAGAAAAATGAAAATAATATACATATCAAATTGAATTTATTATAATCTTGTTGAGAAGTGAAACGAATTTATTTTTAATTTAAGAATTTAGAAAATAAATAAATGTAAGCAATATATTCACAATAATATTAGAATAATTTATCTAGGCATTTTTATATTAATTAGATAAAATCACTAGATAAAATAAAAATATGTTTAAAATAAGGAAATTATAAGTGGTCAAAACTTTTACCATTAATATAATAAGCTATAATAAGCTATAATAAGCTATAATAATAATAATAATAATAATAATAATAATAATAATTATTATTATTATTATTATTATTATTTTGAAGAATTAGATGTTTTCAATTCATTGATTTTACACTGAGAGTTACAGGCTTTATATAAGGGAGATACAATCTATGAAATCTCCTAATTATGTCAATTACAATATACTGATATAATTAGGAGATTACAGGATATATATCAAAAACATTATGAGTATCATAAAACTGACAAAATTAAGAGATCACATAATATTCAGAAAATCTCAACAATTATAATATTAAATCGAAAGGTAATCTCGTATAATTAAAAAAAGGTAATCTCATATAATTAAAAAAAGTTGTTATAATTTTTTAAGATTTTATAATTACTATCTTTTTATTATAAAAATAATTTGATGAAATTACTATATCTAATAACATATATATACATAGAATAAAATGTAAGTGGCCAAAGCTTCGACCATTTATACAATAAACTTGTTAGGGCAAAAAATCGTCCTTGGCCCAAATAGGAAAACGGGATTGAATGAGGAAGAGACCAGGCCCAATCCCGATGCGGCCCAATCTGGATTAGGCCCATTTGATACGAGGTACAGTCGGCCCAAACCATCTGGGCGCAAGCCTCCCAATCCCAGTTCACTTCCTGGACTTATGAGCGAGTCCAGAGCCTAAGGCACCCACAGACCACTTACCTATTCGAGGTTACCTTCCTGTTCAAGGTCACCTTCCTATTCGGGATCACTTTCCTGTTCAAGGACAACTTCCTATTCGGAATCACCTTCCTATTCGAACACTGGTAAGATAGATCACCACCACCCTAATTCCTCTAGGGTTCGTATCAGAGTCACACTAGGACTCCTACTCCCACCAGGATTGGGAGACCAGACAGTTGCTATATAAGCAGAGGCCAGCCCTCTCACAAGGGAGATTACATTACACATTCTCACCCGAAGCTCCTACTTGAGAGCTACACATCACTGTCGTAGTCACAGTCCCTGACTAGACTTCCGGTAACCTCTTTACTCCCTAGCCCTCACTAAATTAGCCTCTTATAGCCTTGCTGACTTGAGCGTCAGAGTGCCTACGGCAAACACCACCCCGATGTTTTCCGTTCGCTTCACGCATTTGTTTCTCTACGTGTGCAGTGCAGCGGATCGCTAGTGACCTCAACCTCATGGGATCAGACCCCTTTCCTTACAAGTAGATTTTTACGTCTACAAAACTTTAATTATATTATTAATTAGAAATGTAATACCGTATGATTATAATAATTTATTACAATTTTTCTAAGATTTTTATTTAATTATTATTATATTACTTAGATAAAATAATAGATGAAATAAAGATATTTATAAAATAAACTGTTCAGAGACCTGTCCACTAATACAATAAAATCTCACTTCAATGTGAATGATTATAATAATTTATTAGGATATTTATAAGATACAATTATTTTATTATTTATTAATTTAATAAAATAAGTAGATTAAATAAAATATATTGAAATTGATAAATTCATCAGTGATACACTAAAATTTTATTTCAATATTAATTAGAAAGGTAACATATTATCATAATAAATTATGACAAATAGTTTGAGATTGTCATCATATTAGTAAAATTACTTGGTTAAATAAAAATTAATAAAATATAAGTGGTCAAAGCTTTTACCATTGAAACACTAACTTATCATTTGTAATATTAATTAGAAGACAATATCATATAATGATAGTAAGTAATTAGAAATTTTCTAAGTTTTATCTAATTATTATAATAATAACTATATAAAATTTGCTAAATTATATTTATTAATATTAGAAATTTAAGTGTTTAAACTTTGACCATTAATATAATAAACTACCTAAAAAATAAGAGTTAATGACTTTTTCCCACCCACAGATTTTTAAAATAACACTACCAAAATTTATATTTAGGCGGTGCACAAAAAAAAACTCGGTCCAAACTGTTGGGGCTTTTAAAGAGGGGAGGTCAATGAGTCTTTTGATGATAAATGTTGGATTTTGGTAATTGAGATTGATTGGAATTTGACTTAGGAGAGGTGGCTGC